TTTACCGTACATTTGCCACCGTTCCTAATGAAAACAAGTTGAAAAAGTATTTGATCACTAAAATCATGACCACTGGTCCAATGACCGTTGCTCAGTATATGGAAGTGGCTGCAGGAGGTTCGAGAGGATATTACGCGCAACGAGGGGACATATTTGGTAATTCTGGTGATTTTGTGACATCGCCAGAGGTGAGTCAACTTTTCGGCGAGTTAATAGGGCTGTGGTTCGCATCGCTGTTTCTGGATCTGGGTCACGAATGCTCCTGGCAAATGGTAGAATTTGGACCCGGCTACGGAAAGCTGATGTATGACATCCTTCGGACATTTGCTAAGCTGAAGCTGATAGACCGAATGTCGGTGCACCTGGTGGAAACTAGTGAACAGCTGGCGTCGCAGCAGTTTCGTCTGTTGTGCATGAGGGACAACGATGACAAGTTGACGGTTGACCGGAAGAACCTCATAACTGGTAGCCAGTCGTTGTTTGGCCCTAAAGTTTACTGGCACGAAGATCTGCGCGACGTTCCTGAGGAGTTCTCATTCTTCGTCGCTAACGAGTTCTTCGACGCTTTGCCGGTTCATGTGTTCCAGCGAACGAATGCCGGGTGGAAAGAGGTACTTGTGGACGTTGACGAAAAACAACAACAGCTGTGCTTCGTCCTTGCGCCGAAGGAGACTCTGACGCAGAGAGCGTATTTGTCGGAGGAAGCGGTCAATCAGCAGAAAATGTCGCGGTATGAGGCGAGCCCTTACAGCGGCTTCTTGGTCCAGTCGGTGGCTGAACGAATCACAGCCAGCGGAGGTGCAGCTCTGATAGTCGACTACGGCCATTGCGGTGAAAAGGGGGACACCCTGCGCGGATTTTCCCACCACCAAGTCGTCGATCCTCTCTCGCAGCCTGGAGAAATCGATATAACCGCCGACGTCAATTTCCGCTACCTCCGTGACCTGGTGCACTCAAAGGTGTGTACGTTCGGACCGATTTCGCAACGAGCGTTTCTGACGAATCTCGGTGCCGAAATTCGTTACACCCAACTTCTTAGTTCTGCGAAGTCAGAAGCCGACAAACAGTACCTGAAATCCAGTTACGAATATCTAATTTCTGAAGACAAAATGGGTGCAAGATTCAAAGTATTTGCGATGCTGCCATCGGTGCTTTCAGAGTTTTTTA